TCTTTTAGAGATTAACCGATTTCTCCACACCCTATAGGTGTCACTGGTGCCTAGAGAAGAGGAGGGGCTCTGTGGACTCCGGTGGGTCATGGTTGTCACCCAGTCCTTTGCTGGAGGCTGGAGGCTCTGACACCACAAGGTGGCAATGCTAGGGGGTTGGGCTCCACTGGAGGCAGAGAGAGACAAGAGAGAGCGGAGTGTTCAGGGCCTCACCTCACTGCTGTTAATTCCCTTCCTGGGATCCCAAGACTTGGGATGTTGTCATTGGAAACATTACTATTTAGTTAATGAGGAAGGTGAGTGTTCACAAATCAGCATTGCAAGTAGGCATGAGATGTAGCATTTAAAAAATATGTTTTTATTGACTTCAGAGAGTGAGAGTGAGATAGAAACATTAATGATGAGAGAGAATCATTGATCGGCTGCCTCCTGCATGCCCCACACTGGGGATTGAGCCCACAACCCTGGCATGACTTCCTGGTTCATAGGTTGATGCTCAGTCACTGAGCCACGTTGGGTGGGTGAGCGAGATGTAGCATTTTTAACTGACCTTGTTGTGCCCACTTCTCCAAGAGTTTGTAAAGTCATCTATTGGTGCCAAGGTGACAGGTCCAGAGGGACCTGAAATTGATGCTTATTAATCAGTTTTCCATAATAGACTCAGGTCTGTGCCTGCAGGGCAGAAGCAGCTAGGAAGGCTCATGGCAGCCTCGAGGAAGGAGCAGCCGGGGTAACGGGGTGGAGCAGGTACCAGGGAGGGAGGAGGCCCAGGGCTAGCTGCCACCTTGCCTTGTGACTTTGAGTAAGCCCTTTCCCTTCTCTGGGTCCCTGACTTTTATGAAACAATGAGGTGTGACTGGTTCCTGGTCTTGATGTCTTCTGGCGCCAATGCTCCAAATTTCCAACTCTGGGAAATAGTGTCACTTCTTTTTTTTTTTTTTTTTTTTAATATATTTTATTGATTTTTTACAGAGAAGAAGGGAGAGGGATAGAGAGTCAGAAACATCGATGAGATTGATCAGCTGCCTCCTGCACGCCCCACAGTGGGGATGTGCCCGCAACCAAGATACATGCCCTTGACCGGAATCAAACCTGGGACCCTTCAGTCTGCAGGCCGACGCTCTATCCACTGAGCCAAACCGGTTCGGCAATAGTGTCACTTCTCTCCGTGACCCTGCTCATAGTCCTTCCTGAGACTGTCAGACGCTGGGACTTAGACTTTGGGTTGTCTGAAGACAGCATGCTGGTTGACTTGGCATTGTCCTCTTCTGTCCTCGGGGTTAGACCCCTGCAGGATGGTCTGTCCTCCTCTTAACAGAGTAAACAGCCCATGACCGTTCTTAGTGACCACAGCGATGGGTGTCTGGATGGCTGTTTTGTATCTTACGCAGGTGTGTTTAAGAGGAAAACATAACTAATTAGATCTTAACAATAAGACCAACATCAGTGACTAATCAGAGCAAAATTCTCCTGCCACGGGTATAACAAGACTCTTTATCACTTGCCCCAATTAGCTACTGACACTTCCCCCTTTTCCCTGTGCTTGGCTTTTAGAAAGAAAAGTTTCAAGATGATTCGGTCCCAATCCCTGTCTCTGCAAATGCCAACGCAGCCAGATTGGAAGGGCCCCCCGACAACCACTCCAGCCATGTCTCCTGCAACACCTGTGCTCCCTGGAGCCACTTGCCAGCTGGCACCAGCACCTTTTGCCATGCCCGAGTACCAGCGGGTAACCATCAGCGGAGATTACTGTGCCGGGGTAAGGTGTCTCCCACTCGCCCTACTCTCACTCTCCCTGGGATCCCCTGGGGGCTGTGTGAGGGTGGTATGTGCCTTGTGCAGAGGCCAGAGCCCGTTGGGCCATTGGGTTATGCCCAGCCCTGAAGCCTGGCCCAGTCTGTAGGTGTCTGGCAGTGGGCAGGAGGTATAGGAATTAGAAAAGGAGGGTCCTGGCTGAGGTGGTGGGGTATGGGTGTCTAGGGTGCTGTCCATTCCTGAGAGGAGGGCCTGGGCTGTGAGCTGGCACGCTGTGCCCATGGCCTATCAGTTCCCTGTGTTTTCTGCTCTGAAGCCCATTGAGGAAGGTGCCCCTTTAGTGTTCCCAGATACTGAATGGATTCAAAGTCCTGTTGTTGACTGGCTTGCTGATTCGGCTCCTCAGCATCCTTAGATATAGGTTAGCCCTCCAGCCAGGAAGAGAGGGTGCTGATGAGGAAGTGAATGAGCTGATGTACACACCAAGTCAGTTAACTCAGTCACTGAAAATGTGCTAATTTCACCTGGTAGGAGGATGCATTTTTATTGCTTACTCAGAAAGAGAAATATCACTGAAGTTAGTGCTGGGGTTAAGTTTGGTTCTGTCTCCCTGGCCCTCAACCTACTACTTGTGCCTCAGTTGACCGTGTTATTCTCTTTCTCTTTCCTTTTTTCACGGTAGTTTTAGAATATATACTATACCAGAGAAAGCAAAGTGGCTTACGACTCTTCTTACACATTTCCCCCTAGCCATAACAACATATATTATTTTGGGGGCAATAGAGAATCCTTGCATGCTGGGGTCCAACCCCAGCGGGTCCAGGGATCCCCAAAGGTGTGGACGGAGTCGGCGAAGAATGAATGACATGTAAACTGGGTTCAGTTCATCAGCACCAGCACCTTTTGCCATGCCCGAGTACCAGCGGGTAACCATCAGGATCCCTTCAGGATCTCCAGCCAAGTTCTGTCTAGGTTCTCTTGCCAAGTTCTGTAGCCAGGTGTGTCCATGTTCTCTTGCTAGGTTCTCCAGCCAGGGTTTCCAAATTCTCCAGCCAGGTTCGGTCGCCAGGTTCTTTAGCCAGGTTCTATCCAGGTTCTTTCCAGGTTCTCCTGCCATGTTCCAGCCAGATTCTCCAGCCAGGTTCTATGTAGGTTCTCTCGCCATGTTCTGTCTAGGTTCTCCAGTGAAGTTCTATAGCCAGGTTCTGTCCAGGATCTTTTGCCATGTTCTCTGGCGAGGTTCTGGTTAGGATCTGATGAGGTTCTGATGAGGAGCTGATGAGGAGCTGATGAGGAGCTGATGAGGAGCTGATGTGGATCTGATGTTTATTGTCTTGTTACATCTATATTTATACCAGCCAATTTTAATCCTGTCAATTTCTATTACAAAGGTTAAGGCGTTTCTTATCTCCATTTCAGGGAGTAAAGATTATGTAGCTTAACTACCCGCCTGGCACTTAATTAAGGGGTTGTATCCCCTCCCTAACCTCAGGGAAAAATCCCCACGTGGGGAAACAACCTTTCTCGGAGAGGTGACCTTGGTTAAAACACATGGCGCTAAGGAGGTGAGCAAACATATTAAGAACAGTATGCCATATATGCCAGGTCCCTTGAAACAGCAAGGATGGACCGGCTCCCGGCAAATTCCCCCTTTTTTATTTTTTAAATGATAGCGCATGCAAATCAGTGGCCACCTCTCAGATTGGGCTGTTTAAGCCTCGGAAGAAGACTGGCAAGCAATGACAGTGAGCATAGCTATAAACATAGTGGATGGAGTGCACACAGAGCCTTGTTCCTGTAGAAGGTTGCTGACATCTTCAGTCAAGAGATTTCAGCTGTCCTCAAGTTGTTGGTTTGATTGTCTTTGTTGGTCTGGCTACGGGCGGCATCACTGGTGATGGGCTTCCCGAAGCATCAGCGAGTTGAAGGGCAGCATCAAAGGGTTTATCAGGGCGGTGCTTGATGGTGGTGTCAGTGTCTGGGGAGAAGTCAGCTGTGCCCTCTGGGTTGGCCGATATGGATAATACCGGGGAGGAGGAGGATGAGGAGGAGACGGAGGGTGGTGTGGCATAAGGTTGGATTAGACAGTCTGGAATCCACACAGGTGAGTCTGCATCCTGTGGAAATATACAAGCATCTCCTCTCCCCCAGGTTAAAAGTACATCAGGTCTCTTCCAGGCTTCTGTAAGTAAGTCTTTCCATTTGACAAAATAAGTGAGTTTCTGCTAAATGAAAGTTTCTTTTGCTGATTTACTCAGAGTCCTCAGACTTGGCTGAGAGATTAGCTTCCACTTCTTGCTTTTCTACCATCTGTCGGGCCTCAGTTGTTAACTTCTTCAGCTGACCCCATGTTGGCACCTCAGTCCCTTGCATAGCCTTTCTTTTCTTCTTTTTTCTGTTTTTCTGTCATCGGGGCAACTCTAAGTCTTTGGAACGATGGGACAAGGAGCTTCTCTGGGTCCATTGTGGTGATGCATGTAATGCATTTACTCAATCCAAGGCAGGCATTTAAAAAGAAAAATCCCAAATGCTCTCTTGTATCCATTTTAAGAGTAGGATTGGCGCTTTCTGCTATTACCTGAGTCCTGATCTATCACCTCAGGGAGAGCTTTCCAATCCTGCACTTTTCCGGGGTAGAAAGGCTGCAGTGGGGTTAAGGATAAGGCTCCTTGGGCCTACCTTCTCCCATGCCTTTACATTTACCTTTCCGGCACCTTTCCTTCCTCAGAAAAGCATGGACACACTTCTTGTATAAAACATTCCATCTGACTGGGAGTAACCTTAACTCCTCTGCTAGCAAGCATATGTGTTAAAAGATCAATACAGAGTCTTTTTTCTTTAGACTCAGTATGGCACATCTTCTTAATCTAAAGATCAATACAGAGTCTTCTTTCTTTGGACTCAGTATGGCACATCTTCTCAATCTAAGGATCAATACAGAGTCTTCTTTCTTGGACTCAGTATGGCACATCTTCTCAATCTAAGTTCTGTACTATCCACCTTCTTACCCTACTTATCCTCTATAGGGGGGTCTGTAGCACCCTGGTGGAGTCCTATCCGTCCCGAGTGTGGGGGTTCTCAATGGGGGGGCTTACCTAGGGGAATCCTGTTCCAGGGGTTCCCAAAGGTGTGGACGGAGTCAGAGAAGACTATCCACCTTCTTCCTACGGTGGAGTCCTATCCGTCCCGAGTGCGGGGGGGGCTTACCTAAGGGTCCCTGTTCGGGCGCCAATTGCTGGGGTCCAACCCCAGCGGGTCCAGGGATCCCCAAAGGTGTGGACGGAGTCGGCGAAGAATGAATGACATGTAAACTGGGTTCAGTTCATCAGCATAGCGAGGTTCTCCCTTCAGGATCTCCAGCCAAGTTCTGTCTAGGTTCTCTTGCCAAGTTCTGTAGCCAGGTGTGTCCATGTTCTCTTGCTAGGTTCTCCAGCCAGGGTTTCCAAATTCTCCAGCCAGGTTCGGTCGCCAGGTTCTTTAGCCAGGTTCTATCCAGGTTCTTTCCAGGTTCTCCTGCCATGTTCCAGCCAGATTCTCCAGCCAGGTTCTATGTAGGTTCTCTCGCCATGTTCTGTCTAGGTTCTCCAGTGAAGTTCTATAGCCAGGTTCTGTCCAGGATCTTTTGCCATGTTCTCTGGCGAGGTTCTGGTTAGGATCTGATGAGGTTCTGATGAGGAGCTGATGAGGAGCTGATGAGGAGCTGATGTGGATCTGATGTTTATTGTCTTGTTACATCTATATTTATACCAGCCAATTTTAATCCTGTCAATTTCTATTACAAAGGTTAAGGCGTTTCTTATCTCCATTTCAGGGAGTAAAGATTATGTAGCTTAACTACCCGCCTGGCACTTAATTAAGGGGTTGTATCCCCTCCCTAACCTCAGGGAAAAATCCCCACGTGGGGAAACAACCTTTCTCGGAGAGGTGACCTTGGTTAAAACACATGGCGCTAAGGAGGTGAGCAAACATATTAAGAACAGTATGCCATATATGCCAGGTCCCTTGAAACAGCAAGGATGGACCGGCTCCCGGCACTTGCATATGGTACAAAATATAAAAAAAAACCCCAAATTATATAGTTCTCCAGCACCCAGTTCCCTTTCTCAGAGGCAGCCCTTGGCTTGATTTCTTGTGTGTTCTCACATACCTGGCCTGTGTACCTGCAATTAATTATATACACATGGTTCGTTTATTTGTACACAAACAGTAGTTTACTATACACATGATATAACTGAGCCTAGCTTTTTTTCACTTAACAGTACCTCTTGGAGATAATGCCATATCATTAAAGAACTTCCTTGTTCTTTTTTTAAAAAATTATTTTAAAGTTGCTACCAGCAACAGTGCAAACATTCCAAACACCTGCAAATTGTCATTTTATTTTTTTAAAGTACATTTTTGTTGATTTCAGAGAGGAAAGGAGAGGGAGAGAAAGATAGAAACATCCATGATGAGAGAGAATCATTGATCAGCTGCCTCCTGCACACCCCCTACTGGGGATCGAGCCGGCAACCCAGGCATGTGCCCTTGGCTGCATCTGTGATGATTTATTTATTCAAACCTATAAGAGATCTGAAACCATGATGAAAAAATATTAAAATTGTTAGCTCTGGGTGTCTGCCAGTGCTTGTTTGTATGTTTAAAATGTTTCAAAACTAAAGTGATTTTTTCATTAAAGCAGAGGAGGACACTTTCAGGCCTCAGCCCTCCCACGCTCCTCCCACCCGCATCTTGTCCGCCCTTTGCTGTGTCACATATCCGCTGTTATGACAGTTTAGCTGCTCATCTCCCGAGCGCGTTCAGATTCTGCCCCACACATCCTTCCCAAACTGACTAAGACTGATGAGGTGGGAGTTTATCTCATTCGTCTTTGAACACGAGGCAGCTCTGGGGATGCAGAACATCCCTGGGCTTTGGGAATCAGTCAGATCAGGCTCTGCAGTTTGATGTTGTGACTTCCTGGCGTGTGATTTATCCTCGCTGGGCCTCGGTTCCCCCATTTGTAAAACAGGTTGCAGTGAGGACCCAACGAAATCTATGGAGAGGGTCTAGCACACGAGATCGGTCCCTAAATGCTTGTGGCTGGGTGAATTTGGGTGAATTTGGGTGAGAGCCTGGGGGCGGCGAAGCAGCAGAGTGAGCAGGCAGACGTTTTTAGTATTACCGCCAAAGGACCCATCAGCTGAGAGCGAAGATGCTCACCCTCATGAGGGACACGGTCCAGGCTTTGCCTCTGTGTGCTGGGTGCAGCCGCAGGCTTGTGCTTTAATCAGCAGCACTGGAGGCTGGCTGGGGGTGTGCAGGCGGAGTAGCTGCCTCCCTACCTAACTCTCCTCCTGTGTGGGTCCACCAGACTGTCCCAGGTCAGGGATTTGCTAGGACTCCGAGGGCTCAGCACATAGCTGTACTCTGACTAGGATTTATTACAGCGAAAGGAGACAGAGCAAAACCAGCCCAGGGGACAGGTCCCCGGGGCAGAGTCTAGGGGAAGTCCTCTCCCAGTGGAGTCACCGCAGCACACTTAATTCAGAGGGTGGCAACACGTGTGAAGTGTCATCTATCACGGAAGCTCATGAGAGACTCAGCGCCCAAGGCTTTTATTGAGGCTGGTCTCACACCTGCATCGCACAGCCCCACATTCCAGACTCCCAGAAGGAAATCAGGTGTTCAGCATAACCCGGTTTGTGCCAGCAGCGTAGGCACAATGAGCCACTCTTACAAGTCAGGGAATGGTGGGAATGCTCCCGAAACCCGGTTCCCAGCTGCCAGCAAGGGCCAGCCTTGCAGCAGGTCTTGCTAAGGACAGCGGTCTCAGGCCGGCTTCATGAACTCTTCCTGCACACCTTCCTCTGCAGATCACCGTGGAGGACTACGAGCAGGCCGCCAAGAGCCTGGCCAAGGCCCTGATGATCCGGGAGAAATATGCCCGGCTTGCCTATCACCGTTTCCCACGGACCACAGCCCAGTACTTGGGTCATTCCCGGGTGGATACAGCATCTCCGGGGGAGGGCCTCCCAGGTACGGTGCTGTGGCTGCAGTGGGGTTCCAAGTGGACATGGTCTAAGAGTTGGTCAGGACTTTTTACTAGCTGGATCTGTTTCCCCCGGATGGTGTTGTAAGGGCAGGGTGCTGGCTTCACCCGCCATAGAACTGAGCTGTGGAAGTTAGGAGAGAGATGAAAGTCTGGACCTTGGGAGTTTTCCAGGGAGACAGGCAGTCATGTGGGGTATTTTAAAAAACATGATCAGACATTAAATGCCAAATTAGTGTGTGTGAGTGTGTGTGTGTGTGTGTGTGGGTGGGGGGTAGGTTATAGGAGGCATGTTCTGGGATAGGGGAGGTAGGCTCGGGGGTCAAACCTACCTGTAGCCTGATCTAAGCTCTGCCACTTTCTTGGGCAAAGATTTCTCCAAACCTCAGTTTCTCAGTCTGTAAAATGGGAACACTAATAGTATCTGTCACCTGGGCCTGCTGAGAGGATTACATGAAGGAATGAATGTGAAGCAGTGAGTGCAGTCCTGGTACCCAGTGAGTGTTCAGTAAATGGAAGCTGGTTTATGCTGTGGGTTTAGGAGATTGGCGAGGGCAGGATCATTTCTGGTGGGCTCTGTTCGGCCGGGGAAGGACCCAGGAGCCGTAGAGACTGTGAGATGAATGAGCACCACAAGAAACCTCGATATTGAAAGTTGGTGGTGGGGGGTGGGGGGGGGGGGGAGGCGGGATCCAATAAGGGCCTGATGGTCTGTGCCAGTGCCCATGACCCAGGCTGCCCCCTGGGTGTAATTGGTGCCATTTCTGGCCTCCTTGAAGCTCTGAGACCTGGACTTTGAGTATCTGTTACCACCAGGGGCCCTGGGTAAATCTCAGCCCTTCGCACCCATTTCCCTGTTTGTCTGAGGGAAGTTGATCCCACCTGCCCCATTTTTGGCAAAGGCCGGCAGGAATGACTGTCAAATGTGTACTTTCTACAAAGCAGGGCGCCCAGGGGTCCTGGCATGAGTGTGGTGGGTGGGGGCTGTGGCTTCACCCAGGCCTTCGTACTGCTGGCATCTCAGAGGCCACTGGCACGTCTCAGGGACTCTGAGCAGAGCAGTAGCCCCCAGTTCCACTGCTGTGAAGCATAACCTGTTCCTTGGCCAGAGACAGAGCTTAGCAAGAGTCAGGAAAAGTCATTATGAGAGTAATGCCCAGTAATTTACATGTCGGCATTGCTATTTACAAAGCATGTTCCTATACCCACTTTTGCAGCCCTCACAATGGGCTGTGAAGGCAGGGTGTGTCATCCTCAGATGAGCAGACAGGATCAGAGGTAAAGTGGTTTGCTCAGCGTCTCATAGCTGGGCAATAGCCAGGAGTAGCTTCCTGCCCACCATGGGCTAACTCAACCCATAGCGGTTGGCATTCCTTGCTCTGGGGGAGACCAGCCTTATTCTGTGCTCCTCTGGGGGTGGGGGGCGCCTTAGCCCCTCGGCTGCCCTGGGCCCAGGAAGCCGTGGGAGGACAGGGATAGTTGTGCCCGCGGGGCAGTCCCAGGTGCTGTCTTATTAGGAGAGGACACAGCTGCCCTTTTTAGTGCACCTGGTGGCCCTGAAGTGCCCAGGAGGCTTCAGCTCATTTCAGTTAAATTTTAAAAACTTGCCAGCCACGTTCCAGGGATTATTCTAGGAAATGGGGATGCAGAAACAAACCAGACAAACATGTACCACCCAGGATAACTAAGTGAACTTATTTTACATAGTCATAGGTGCTAAGGAAACAGTCAAGCGGGGAAGGGTGTGTGAGATGCCAGGGTGGGTGGGGTGGGGGTGGGGTAGT